AAACAGTTGGTAAGTAGGTGTGAGGTTTTTTTCGTTGACCACAAGATCGAGCTATTATCTGAGCATTATACCATCTGTGTTCAGGAAACAGTGTCTCTGAATTGCAGTCTCGGGACGAGCGTATTTACATACAAAGCTGCGGAGGTGCAGCGGTTTAACAGCCTGTCACACAAAGCACATGACTTGTCAAGTAAAATGACTTTTCACAGCTCTCCATATTCCAAATCAGAAGATCTGCACAAGAAACCATCCTCCGACTCACTCACAAGTCTTTGTTTTTAGCCTCACTTGACACATGCCAGTCTCTCATTTGACCTGTGACTTCTTAGCGGGGGATTATTTCTGCATAATTGGAGCGGAATTGTTTTCATGCCAGGAGAGGCTGCATTATCACCACACTGTCAGGCAGAGTAACTTTTAATGCAAGGCTTATTTGGTATGAAAATAGAAAGAAAAGATTTCAGTTTCATTTTAAAGTTGATCTTGATAGTCTGAGCCCCCCCCACACACACACACACCCACCCACTACCAGCAGCAGTTCTTTACTGGGGAGATGTGTGTGAGTCGCTGGGTGTTGTTCTGGTGTTTCTGCCTTTTCAGAGGAAGTAAATCTGCTTAGTGATGAAAGCCCACTTGTGTGTCGTGGTGAAATGAAGCTGTGGAGTTGGCAGAGGAGGGGGAGGGGGGGGGATCCACTGTAGATCTTTGGCAGTGGTCCTCTGTTTTAGATTTATATCAGCATGACACAACCCGAGCCACTTGTTCTTGTCCCAGATGAGAAAAAGTTCTGCCTCAGCACTTTGCTATCCTCCACTGGTAAGGACGTTGCAGCAGGAGTTTGTGTCCCCGCGGTGGTTGTCTTCACATTTTCTTCTTTTTATTTGTTTTTGTGCACTATTTCTCCCTGTCATACTTTAATCTCTCCTCCACCCCAAGTTCAAATGACTTAGAAGTAGTTTGACAGTAGTTCACTCTGTGTTGGTCTCGATGTGTTAATGTAATCTATGCACAGAGGGGACCACGTGAGCCTTTTCACTCAGTTTGGACACATCAGTGAGGCTGGGAAGTTTGTGCTGAGTAGACAATTGACAAAAGAGCAGTGCTCTGTTTTTCTCTGCTGGATTAAGCAGCCATATAATTACACTATAAGAAAAATTCAAGTGTTATATAAACTGTACACATTTCCAGCTGAAGCAAGGGCCCATTGTTTACCATTGGTGTGAATGGCTCTCCCATAGGCATTTATCTGGGCTTGGATCTGATGACTGTAAAGGCTAAAGCATATGACCTCTTATTCATTTCATATTCATCATACTATTCACTCAGCCTTTTGACCTGTGTGGAAGACTTTTCAGACACACGCAGGTTTTTACATGAATGTATCGCCCTTTGTCAAAGGCCATCTTCACAACTATCGATGAGCTCTCAGATACAAGGCTACCAGGAATCACACATCTCTTTAGACACATCTCCATGCACCATTCTTGTCAAACACACTCTTACAATTTGGACTACAGCATCCCTGTGGTTTCATTAGCTCACATGTAGCTTGAAGAGTGGCTGCCATCCTGCTGCACTACACCACAGCCAGGAGCTAATAGGTCCTTAGAGGGTCCAGACTTTCCTATTAGACACCCTGCTCCAGACAGCCAGCCGTACTCTTCAGACTCCAGCTGTCCATTTCACCCAATTTGAGTTCCTCTTTTCCAGCCCCGGCCTCATCCGTTACATACATCTATGCGCTCACTGTGAGCTCTGTAGCTAGGGAATACGACCGCGCTTATAATTCCAAATGTCCTTGAGTTGTGTGGCAGCGCAGTCAGTCTCTATCAACATGCGGATCTGTACGATGGCACTCGTACTAATGTATAGCCTGCAGCTGCACAAAAGAAGCGCGTGCAAAGATCGCTATCAAGACAGTGATATCAGTGTAGATTGAGAAGATGTCTCATCATCTGTGGAAGATACCTGGGAGATCATTTCATCAAGTGTAAGTTCACGTGGACGATAGAGCCGGTGTTCAGTGTTCCACCTGGACCTTCTCTTCATGATATTTAGCTCAGTCAACATGGTGGTCTGTTCTTCTTTAAAAGCCTTCAGCTTGGCCTGTAAAATGTATGAGTCAGCTCTTAAAGCCCCCCCCCCAATCCTCCCGCCCACACAGACTCGGTTCAGCCCTGATAAAAGCTTTTATTGTTAAAGCTATTAGATGAAATGTCTGTACCTACGAATGGTATCTCTTTATAAATGTATCACATCAAATGTTTGATCTGGTATACCCTGCATTATATAATTCCATGTATTAGGCCCAGATAACATTAGACCTTCATGGATCTTCCAAAGATGGCCCGGTGGGAGAGTGCCCTGTGTCTGTTAATGTTCATCCATAAGGACTCAGCCACCATCAACATTTACCACTTTCAACTGCAACCACTTAGTACAGAGGGCCAGCTGCTTTCATCCTGACAAACATGACAAGGATTTCTGTTTGCATCCTGATATGTTGAACAAATTGTTTTATGAGTATATATTTTATATACAGATTATTTTATTACAGCTGCCACACCACATGTACGAATCACAAAATAACATGAGGAAACTCAAAGAGGCAGATAAGAACTAAGAAATACAGTAAAACTAAAAAGTAGGACTGTACTGTAATTCTGAATTCATACAATGATTCCAGGTAATATTCTTTACATGATTAGTGCAAGTCTTGTACATGTATACATATGTATACATTTGTGTTGACTGTCAAAAGCATGTCAGTGGTGATATAGTATCTGTTCTCTACAACTGTGATCGTCAGCAAATGTGGTATGGTTACTAGGAGAAAAAGTAGTTGATGAATCCGCTTCAGTTTCAGTTTTGAAGATTTTGATGAAATTCATTTACTGGTTCAGAAACAATTTAACTGCCATTCTGATTATTCCAGCTATAAAGTCAAGACAATATACTGTACATTTCCAGTTTCAAAAAGAAAGCGACAAAAAAAGAACATTGCGTATTTTTCCTGTTAATGACAGTGAAATAAAACCCTAAAAGGTATATCTGATCACATTCTGCTGTGAGCTTGGATGTCAGACATAAACCCAGCTGCAATTTAGAACTAGATGCAACTTCAAAGCATCAACAGCATTTCCTCCTTTTTCAGAGCGCTCTATGTCTGTGTGGTGAATGTAATTGCGTTGAGAGCAGGGCCACCAGATGGTACTCTATGTTCCCATCAGAGAAGAGAACTTTAGCTGAGTTCTTAATCCCCCAAAACCTCACCGAGGATTTGTCACTTTGAGGGCAGGAATTTTGACTGCTTTTCTTATCAGGTGCTATCAGGAAGGACTGAACCTTTGAACCCCTTCTCATTCCTGCACCTGTGGGAAGAAGCATTACGACCGTCTCTCTTTATGTTGGACCTGATTACACTGTTATACCTGGGCTCTAGGCACATTCTCAGCTACCCCATAGGAGAGGAAGAACACAGGAAATGAGTTTCTATCTTGATGACCTCCTGGAGGTTTGAGAGTAACCCAAACTGCAATAGGCTCCTTCTTCTCTCTCTATCTGATCAGTTGTGGCGCCGTCTTCTTTTTTTAACTTTATTTTTCAGTTTGTTGAAGTTTGTTGTTTGTTCACAAGATAAAACCCAACACCAAAAATCAAATAAAAACCACGGGCATTAATATGGAGTTGGATGCCCTCTTTGCAGCTTTCTACAAGATTTAGCCAAAGGAATTGTTAGGGAGGTCGAGCACTGATGTTGGAGAAGAAGGACTGGCCTGGTTCTAAAAGTGTTCAATTGTGTTGAGTTCCTCCACACCAAACTAAATATCTTTATGGACCTCGCTTTTTGCACAATGATTGGGTGTCCACTGACCTTTGGCAATACATTGTAGTGTGTTTCTCCAACCAAACAGTGACTTATTCCATGAGAACAGCATCATACAGAGCTACAAAACTCAAACGCTGAACAAAGCCATTCATGTTTTCTGTCTTCCTGTTATCTGCTCAACCGTTCCTGCCAATCTCCTGCTGTGAATGTTCTGAAAACACAAATTTGCGTAATATGCCGCGATATGGCACAGCTAAAGCGCGCAACACTGACAGTGAAAAATGTCTTTAGTTTAGAAACGGCATAAAAATCCCCTGCTGCAAAGTCACAAATGCTGCAACAATCATCACTGGAACAAAACCTGGTTATTAAAAAAAAGAGACGCACCTCCTGTTGCCATTCTTTCATATACCCTCCAGGGGGAAATTCCACTTGTGCCTCATGGTGCTTCAGTTTGTGTCATTGCTTTTCATACATAATTGTACCACTAATATGTTGTCATTCAAATTGGAGGAGAAGGAAGGAGAGGCGGGAGAAAAAAAGCAATTTCAAAGCTTGCAAAAAAAAAAGCTGTGGAAAGGACCTCGTCTCTGTCTGCTTCCGTCTCTGTCTTCATTTCTTTCTTTCAATCAGACTTTCAAAGGAAAGCTAGAGAGTCTGCAGAGTCTGACCAGAAGCACAATATATTATATTGATAAATAACTGAGAGAAACACACAGTGCTTTACATATGATTCTATTGAATATTAAACACCAGTTTAAATGTCCTAAGTATGGTGAGTTGGATCTACAGTATATGTTTGATATCTGAATATTTCCATGAGCTCATGTTTAGCAGTTCTCCCATGTTTACTTCCTACACGAGCGCAGCTACACTCTTCCCATCCGACGCCTGTGAACAATCTAAATGTATCATCTTGTGACATGTGCTCTTTAACTACTCTTAACAACTCTCAATAACACAGACTGTTGATTTTGTGGCTTTCTTCTCGAGCTGTTGTCTGTTGTGTAAGCTTTAGTTTGGTTTTGAGATACGTTTGCTGTAATCATTTCTGTTGTCCTGTTGCTGTTACATGCATATTCCAAATGTTTGCACAATCAGAACAAAGAACGCTGCCCTATGATGGACTCAAACTTAACCCTTCCTCTTCCCTCTGTCCTCTTACCTCCAGGATCCCGACCCAGGTTGGAGGATGCGGCTCCCCGGATCATAGAGCACCCCTCTGATCTGATCGTGTCCAAGGGCGAGCCGGCCACCCTCAACTGTAAGGCAGAAGGCCGGCCGTCTCCAATGGTGGAATGGTACAAAGACGGCGACCGCGTTGAGACGGATCGAGAGGACCCTCGGTCCCACCGGATGCTCTTACCCAGCGGCTCCCTCTTCTTCCTGCGGATCGTACACGGCAGGCGAAGCAAACCCGACGAAGGTGTCTACGTGTGCGTGGCGCGCAACTACCTGGGCGAGGCGGTCAGTCGCAATGCATCGCTGGAGGTGGCGAGTAAGTCTTTCATGTTTTGCCATTCCGGCTTGAGGGTTTAGGTGTGCATGTGTACTGGAACAACTATCTTTGTGAGGACCAATTGGAGTTTTAGACCGACAGAGTGAGGACATTTTGGCCGTCAGTTCTTCAAAGGCCTGCTTGAGGGTTCAGACTTGGTTTTAAGGTTCAGGTTAGGTTAGATTTAGGGTCAGGTATTTAGGGCCAAACCCATTTCTTATTTTTACCCATACCCCTCGTTTTTGAGTGACCCTTGATTTTCGACTTGCCCCTCGGAACAGAGGTGATGGGTAGTGGTTGAAATCATAACTACTGATATGTCTGACGACATAACTACTGATATGTCGTCAGTAGTTGTTGGCTTATTAGGGAAACGGATGAGACAAGCCAGTTCATGATAGAAAACCCGGCCTAAGGAGTGGTAACAACTTTGCTGCTGGACTTAAGTTCAATTTCGGGTGTTTAGCGCCATCAACAGGGGGAAATGTGCCATGTAAATGTGTTGGATGAAGGACAGTCCTGCACAAAATCAGACTTAAAACATTATTGTAACGATAGCTAGCCAGACACATCGGCATACTAGAGATTTTTGTGTTTTTTATTTACGGTCTGTAAGCATTGAAACGAAACTAAGATTATATAATGTTATCAAGCTTTTATAAACCCTTATTAACAAAGAAAATACTTATTTTCACAACACTCGCTTTGGGGTGCGCATATGAATAACCTCCGTTTGGAGGGCCATATAGCCCTACCACTTCACCCTAGCCCTCCATCACAACAATAATCAGGACACCTCAATGTGTGGACGAGCAAATTGGAGGAGGAGGGCTAGATAGTCGTTGCAATGGCTGTACTGAGATTGCGCCTTAGTTGTGATGGTTAAGGTTAGGAAAAGGGAATGCATTTTGTCAGTGTGTGTCCTCACAAAGATAGAAGTACAGCCGTGTGTGTGTGTGGCTGTGATTGAACCAAAAGACAGAAATGAAATGCTGCTCCGTGCTAATGCAGGGCAGACACATGGGAAGTAAACGTAAAGGACAGAGGACATGTGATGCTACAAGGACATTGTAGAGGAACTGTAGAGCTGGAGAGAACATCACTAACACAAGGAACATAGTGTGTAATTCAACACAAGTCTGTGTATAGGCATGGGAAGATATGTGCTTGTCCACATGTCAGGTGTCAAACATCATGTCACGCATCATGTATCTCTGGTAATAACATAATAACAAACACATGAAATCACCGATAGCTTCACAAGTAATATTGTTGGCTGCGGATACAGAAGCAGAGGCAGCTTCAAAGGGCTCTCTGGGCTCTTATCATCGCCGTTTCTCGCTGAGTTAACTTAAGATGCCACCCCTGACCTTGGTGTCAGATCTCCTGGCAGCTTGCACCCCGAGACCCCCCCAACCCCGTCCTCCTCTCCGGCCGCCGACATTGCATCCTATCTCCTCTCGCCCCAGAGAGCCTGGCCTCTGTCGTGTTGCGACAGGGTCTGTTAATGTAGATGGATGACAGCTCGCTCCTGTGAAGAGAGAACAGTTGTCGCCACTGAACAGGAAAGCTAAAAAAAGGCCACTGGAGGTTGGCAGCTTCTCTCTGGCAGATGATACTCCCTTAAAATACGACAAAGTAGTGCGTCTCTATTCCAACAAACACCTTGTGATTTTTTTCTCTCTCTCTCTCCATAACAAGGCTGCTTGTGATCAGTGGCACTTGAGTGGAATGCAGATAAGGCCAATGTGATCTATTCTCCATTACTTTTAGTTAGAATATTATAATGAAGTACAACTTTGTTTTGACTGCAGCAGCATGTCATTTCAATAAAGAATGCAAATAAAGTAGAGGACTACCATGCTTTTTTTTTTAAAGTGGACTACAAACTAAGTGCTGCTCAATGACTTAAAGAACGGACGATCATTATGTTGGTGTTGTCAGCCCGGTCCCAAACGTAAGAGCGTCTTCTACACTGTGACTGTTCTCAGTGAAACGGTGTACTGTAGCTTACGTAAGTACACGTAATATTTTGTTTTTCAAGAGGAAAAGATTTTTCTTGAATTGATTTTTTTGGCATGTTTTTGCATATATTGTTAAATAGGTGCTCAATATGCGCGGAATTGTGATCTAAAAGGGTTAAAAAGACATTTTTCATCTCAACTTTGACTTGTGCCTTTGTGTCCCTGCTTGTAATGACTCAGAAATCTCTGAACCCAAAGTCAGAAATTCAGAAGGCAGTATGAGTAGGATGATGAGGACCAGGTATGGAAATAGGTGGGGACGCTCAGGTGAGGGGAACGAGCTGATTGGGTAGATGAGGTTAACAGGATCTGTAATGACCAGGCTGGTAAACATGAAATATAGTCCCAATAAAGGTGCACTTGAGTCCTTGCTTATCTTCTAAGCAGCATGCTTTTCGCTGCTTGTACAGAAACACCAGTCAATATCTAAACATTGTCTCAACCCCCTTCACTCCAACCTCTTCTTTTATCATCCTCCCTTTAAAACAGAAACCAGCTCAGGAATTACTCATCGCACACAAACCAGATAAAAGCAGCTGAAAATGAACTCCGTTCCTCTTTAAAGAAAATCTGTGAAACTCTAGACTCCTGTCAAACACCTCACGGCCGGGCATCATATTTTCCTGAAAGGCTCCAGCCTCTAACTTAATAATGAGGCTGAATTTACCCTGACTGCCTCCACAGGAAAAAAAATGATTCTCCATCCTCTATCAACCGCTGGGGATCTTTGAAGTGTGTTCCTCACTTTCTTTCTTACCTTTCACCTTTAGATAGCAGCGTGAGACGCTGCGGGCTGTTGGTGATATACGTCACATAGAAAGTGAGCAGGTTGTGAAACACTTTCCACAGTTAGTAAAAAGAGCAAAGGAGTAGAAAGGCTGGTGGTTGGCTGTTAGTTTAGGAAGCACTTGATTTGATATGCAGCATGAGCTTTCTATGAGTGGAGCTTTTTAAACGTCAATATTGTGGCCCCATCGTGTTCATTTAATTGTGGGAACCCCAATTCGTAATGGTGAATACTATTTGATTAATTGTGCAGCCCTAACCAATGCTAGAATGTTCTCACTCCACCATGAATAACCCACATGGACTGGATCTCAGACTAGGCTCTGTGGGTTTGTTGTGCATCTTTCAGTCTGCAAGGCCTCGCAGCTGTCCATGTGTTTTCCTGCGTATCCAGCTTTCCTTCCTGATGCTCTGGTCCTTTTGGAAGTGACATTCAGACACATGCACAGGGACACAACTTGGCGCTATCGGCAGTTGTTCTGACAGATAGGACTCCCTAAGTCATGGTGGTAGAGGCACAACTGCAAGTGTGTGTTTGACTTGCCCTCCCGAGTGTGAGTCTGCCAGCACAACCACACAAACCTACTAACCCCACTGTTGGAGCATCGCCTCTGGAGACAGAGAGAGAGAGAGAGAAGGGAGAGGAGGTTACACAGAACAAACAGTGGCCAGTGCCAAAGTAGAGCCAGTGCCAGCTCCCCCCCCCCTTTGCATGGCACCAATGGGGCTGGAGATAATGCCACGGGCACATAAACCCGCCTGGAGCTGCCAGGGGGCTCAGTGAGGCAACAGAGAAGGCGCAAGATGGCACTTTGTGGCATGGTGAGGGAGAAGCGTTGTGTATTGGTGTGTATATTTGGTATCGGGGTGGAAGCCAACACAGTGGGAAGGGTGGAAGGTTTCGGGAGGTTTAACCCCTCACAGTCCATCTGCTGCAGGCTGAGAGGCAGGCAGGGCTGAGGAAGGCCACTGAGCCGTATGGATGAACTGGCAGGATTGTGCAAGTGCTGACAAACAAACCTGACTGAAGTGTTTGTCTGGAAGTGCTTTATTTCCTGACGTGTGTTAATCTCTTTGTGCATGTACCAAGGGGCTGAGGACTAAAGATCTCATTTAAAGTATACATAGAGCTCTAACTGCAGACAGCCTGTCGAGACATTTCCATGTAGAATTGAAGCAGCAGTTGATAAGCGAGTCCATAGAAGTGAGACAAACGTAACCCTCCATCATCTTAGATGTGGTTCTGAAAGTGCATTTCAGCTTTAAAGTGATATGTCAGCCGGACCCTGTCCTTTTGAAGATCAAACAGCCTGTACAGGCTTAAAAACATTGAACAGAACTTCTGCTGTAGTCAGCTTTAACAGTCTGTCGCCCTGTATCTCAATAGGGAGGAAGTGTCAAAACACGTTTCCCCACAGCAACTTACACTCACACTCCTCACACATCCCACCTGACATCCGAGTGGGCACAGGTTCTGTACCTTGGCCATTGGGAAATCTTGACCTGTTGGTGGTGCTAGATAAAAATTAACAACTACAATTCATCCTCTAATGACTGTAGAGACGTTTCACTCCAGAGCTTAACCAAGTGTGTAAGAGCATCATCCGCATGCCAAATGACCTCTGTACCAACCATTGGCAGTGCAGCGGTTACTTTGACTGATTTTCTTCCCACCTACATTTCATGAAGACCCGTCCTGCTCTGCCTCTGGTTCTTGTTGCCCTCTTGGCAGAATTACTTTAGTTTACTGCTAATAAACAAGATTGTTGGAAGGTTGATAGGTTAATGTTCTCAGTGGATTATTTCATAAGGATGGCAGACATTGTAATTACATTGTATATAATTATACAATGTTGCTTTGCACATTGCATATATATATATATGCATATATATATATATCATCATTAAAAGAAAAGTGCGCAATACACTACTTTTTAATTCATTGTTGAATTTTGCGCATAACAATGCGATTAATCGCGATTAAAAATTGTAATCGGGAATGATTTGACGGGTCGACATCATGCCAAGGTTTTATAAATGATGATAAATTATGAACACAGCTACTTATGGAAGCTGATTGATTGTCTTTCCGTAGAAAGGATAGATCTCTTTGTACTTCAATACTATATGAACAGAAACTGTTCAGACATAAAGAAGGCACACAGTGAAGTTGTTTAAAACAATGCTTGCAGTCAGTAGCTGATGAATAGTCTCCGTTATCTTTAAATGAACGTATATTTTTAGAAAACCGTTAAACTTCTCTCACGTCAGAAGGTCACACTGTCCTTTAATAGCACAGACGATTGACAGTGACTCAGCAAGTTTTAATATCCGTTACATTAATTCTGAACACTTCACAGGTTTTATACATTTTCACTAAGATCCTTCCACTAGAAGTGTGTGCACACCGTTTTTCCTCTACAATTAGGCACTCAATAACTCATTAGAGATGGTTCTGCTTACATCTGTAACAGTTCCCACTTATTGTTAATGACATGTTTGCTGAATGGATGTTTGATGCATGAGTTTTATTCAAGCTTCAGTGGGTGGAGCTTAACCTCACATACGACCTATTCTCTAATAAAGTCCTACAGTACATGTGCTGTGAGTGCAGCTGTCATCCAGCAGATCCCGCACCACTTTGCTGAGCTTTTCCTTCCAGAATGTGTTTTCTGCAGCCCAATCCTCTCCCATTTCACGCATTAAAAGAGATTCTTTGATCCTGAAAATGCGGGCCCGCAAAGTTCTGTGCCAGGAGCAGAGGCCAATTCATGTCAGATGCATAAAAGTCAGTCAGCCACAATAGAACTAACGGGCCAGACACCCCTGGGTGGGGATTTGACATTCAGAGCGACTTGCCCAAGCTCCTGGCGGCTTTTTCTTTGAGTGTTTTATACCTCTGACGTTTTTATTATTCCTGCTACGTCTCCGCTGCCTGGCTTTATGGCTCATGAATATTCACGCTAACAGGGGAGGGGAAGAGGTGCTGCTTTTTCTACGGTGCTGGGGGGCGGAGTAAGAGGCATTTCAAATAAAAGTGACGGGTACAATGCCCCCCAGAACAAACCCCAGCCCCCCCCTTTTTTTTTTTTGCAAAGGTCATTTGGCGGTCGAGCCTTCGAGTGTCGAGATGGCAGCTGCCTCGTGGAATTTGGGGAATAAAGAGGTGAAGAAGTGACGACACTCCCGGTCTTCCTCATCGCTCGTGTGAAGTTGTTCTTACAAGTCTTTGTAACGGTAGTCTGGCCAACTTTCTCACCCGTTGTAACCCTAGACGCCAGTGTGGGAGAAACAGCTGAGCAGCACTATCACCACTCGGATCCTCCTTTCCCTTTCTGTCTCCTTCTCTCTCACACACACACACACACACACACACACACACACACACACACACACACCTGTCACACTGAGCCCCATGTGCACGAAAATGGATTTCAGGGTTTTATGGATTTGGAAATGGAGAAAGGATTTTGTGGGTTGGGGGCAGTTTGTTGTTTGGAAAGAGTTATAGTAGGAGAGAAGTGTAGGCTGGTTGGCTCCGATAAAAGAGATAACGTAAAGCCCCACCAGTTCCTCCCTCCCTCCGCTGTCCGTGCCCTCTGTCCCTGTTATTAACCCCGGCAGTGTGGAGCCATATGGGCTGTGATTGGAGCTCGGCGGTGCATGCGGTCAGACACAGCGGAGCGCAGTCACACTGATGTGTACATCTATACACACCGTACCTGCAGGCTGCAGGCTAAGTGAGCACTGACCTGCTGTCAGTTTCTGTAGACACCTGTTACTGGGTGAATACTGGAGTATGTCAGTGCTCCTCTTATCAGCATGTACATGTTTTTTTAAATAAAGTCCTCCTAATCCTATGCCATGTTTAAAAGATCATTTTCCTGGAAGGATGTTGGAATACAGCTTTCACCCTCAAGATGAAATGCCTCTTTTCCTATTAACCTAAACTATATAACTTATTTTATTCCTTCAAACCTGCTCTCAATCGGCTGCTTGTAGCAGTTGGCCTGCTTTGAATGAGCTGATTTTATCTGCTTAGCAGTTATATCTTTATGAATTCTAGCAGGTAAGGAAAGCTCTCTTATTAAAGATTCATCCCCTCATCTATGCATGTAAAAACATTAGAATCATTGCTGCTAACATTGATTCAAATATATTTTTGGACTGGCATCAGTAAGTGGTGTATGAGTACACATCCAGCCCTCCCTGCATCCACAGGAGCATGACGATGTTTCCCCAGCTGTCCAAAGCACTTTGCCCATTCAGACCCATTTGTCAAGACAGCCACTGTCAAGTCTTGTTTCCCTTTTACCTCCTGCACTGGTCTGCTTTAGAGCAGCTGACATGTCCTCGTGCTTCATCATGTCCACGCATGAATCGGATAGTGTGGATTTGCATTTGACACACCGAGCCAGCCCAAGATACAGTAACACCATCTCTTCTCACGCATTGAAATCTTGGTTGTCGGTTGCCCGATGATGCGTCCGTCTGTCTGTGTGAAGCTCCGAGGTGTGTTCATGCTTCACTAATGGGGTTGCAGGTCCCAGGCTCGTGGAGGACAGAGCCGGTGGCAGTTCTGTTCTTAAACGAAGGGGATCAGATGGCCGGAGTGAGGCCACAGGCCTCTGGCTTAACCCCCCCCCCCCCGTATGATCCGGCCGTCTGCCGGTCATTGAGCCAGACCCACCAGCCAAACCCTCCTCCAGAGGATAGCCATGAATTAATTAGACCATACTAAAGGCGAGTAAGACCTGTGTGTGTGTGTGTGTGTGTGTGTGTGTGTGTGTGTGTGTGTGTGT